CGATGTTGATTGGTCGATCAAAACAATGCGGTCTTGACAAAACCTCTCGAGGGGACCAGGGGAGCTAACGGGTTTGTTTTTGGACTGCAGGCCGCTGGCTACCCTCGCCGGGCTTATTTTTGTTACCCAACATACTGTGCGATCGGCGAAGGGACAGTGATCGTTTAGAGCAGCCAAATTCGAAATGGGAAAGCCTATCGATCTGGAGATAAAAGTATCGCTAGTGAAAGATCTGGGGGAGGAATTGTGAATCGAGTGAATGGAAAATGGAACTGCAACATCTCTGCTTTGATTTTCTGGAGGAATCGAGACTGGTGGAAATTTTTTGGCGGAATTATTCGCTTCGGGCGACGGACGCTTCTAAAATAGGTTTCCGGCCTTGTCTTTCTTTTAGCAGTTGAACACCAACATAGCGCTAACTCGCCGAAAACGCTTCAAAATGGCCTGAGACGTTCGGAATCAACAAAGAAAACAACAAGGCAATAAGGTGAGCCCATTTTATTTCAAAACAAGACATTCTTTTCTCTCTTTTAAGGCAAACCGATAACATCCCATACAAACCTTTATAAATATAAAACGTTACGCAACACGGTAAGAGTCACGTCCGCTTTTCTCGTAGTGAGCTTGGGCTGCCTGTGACCGGAAATGACAAAAATGCTCACAAATTCCCTGTATGTCGATGACTTAATCGCTGGGGAAGACGACGACGTAAAGACCGCCTTTGCTATTTACAAGAAGTCGAAAACAATAGTGGCCGAAGGTGGATTTCGTCTAAGAAAGTGGAATTCCAACTCCGCAAGTTTAATCGAAGAAATTGTGAAATTAGAAGTGCCGAATAATGAAATCCTAACAAGTCAGCAAACGTGCGATTGTCCAGATGTCACAAAGGAAGATGACGAGTCGTACGCTGAAACAAGTACCACTTTGAACCGCCTTACTTCAAGCGACGGGAACACAGTCAAGGTTCTAGGAGTTAACTGGGACACTGTTAATGACGACTTATTCTTTAACTTTGACGATTTGTACAAATATGGAAAGTCACTTCCGGTCAACAAGAGATCGGTACTCAAACTTACTGCAAAGATTTTCGACCCTTTAGGAATTCCTAGTCCTTCCGTCATTCGATTGAAGATATTGTTTCAAGTTTTATGCAGCGAGAAACTCGAATGGGATCAGCCACATCGAGGAGAAATGAACAAAACTTGGAACTTGATATTCGAAGAATTGAAATCACTGGGATACGTCCGAATACCGAGATGCTATTTTTTCCCTGGAATTTCAAAGATTGATGTACAACTCCACTGGTTTAGCGACGCATCAGAGAGAGCCTACGCAGCCATCGTGTACATACGAGTGGCATACAGTGATGGTCGCATCGAGACGAGATTAGTCGCAAGCAAAACCAGAGTGTCGCCTATCAAGAAGCAATCTATCCCTCGTTTGAAATTGCTTGGAGCTGTCATATTGTCACGACTCACGACAAACGTATTGAAGACGCTACCAAAGCAAATGAATCGAGTGAATTACTGGGTCGATTCCAGAGCTGTGCTTCGTTGGATTCAGAACGATAAGCATTGGAAACAATACGTCAAACATCGTGTAGACGAGATTCGACAAATGACACCAAAGAAAGATTGGAGATATTGTCCTGGAGTGCAGAATCCTGCTGATTTACTGTCACGTGGGTTGACCGGAAATGAAATGGTGGACAATTCTATTTGGTGGGGCGCCCCGCAATTCTTACAATTGCCTGAAGAAGAGTGGCCTCAAGAGCAAGCTAAGGTCGAGACCAATGAAGCCGCACTCTCCGAAGTTGTGAAAAACTCGCCGAATGTGATCCATGTGTTAACAACCAGTGACGAAATCCCGACTGAAGTCAATCTCGCCAAATTCATCAATTGTCAACAAGTCAGCTCTCTTGACCGCTTACTACGTGTTACAGCCTACGTACTACGATTTGTGGATATCTTAAAGCGACGGCAGCAACACGCAAGGGCGGAAAGAAAGAAGAATCAACCAAAGAAGAAGATTATCAAGAACTTAGTTCAATAGAAATCAGCCGAGCTGAGTCACTCTGGATTAAAACAGTACAAGCCAGTTCGTTCAAGGATGAGTTCAAATTCGTACAAAACCAGTGTGAACCAAAACCTCGTCGTGTGGATCAATTTGGTCTGTTTTTGGACGAAAAAAAATTGCTAAGATGTCGAGTACGGCTTCATAACGCAATCTTATCGTCGGACAGCAAGAATCCTATACTTTTGCCTTCCAAACATCCTTATGTTGAATTGATAATCCGTCAAACTCAAGACAAAGTAAAGCACAGTCAACAACACGCTGATGACTATTCGTGAGAGATTTTGGATTCTACGAGGGAGACAGGCAGTGAAGCGCGTGCTTAAAGGTTGCGTTTCTTGTCCAAGACTCAAAGGTCTGCCGTACTCAAGCTACAATGTCTCCGATTTACCAAGTGTGCGCGTCTCCGAAGATCCACCATTTACTCATACTGAAGTAGACTTTGCGGGTCCTCTTTTCGTATGTGGTAATTCGACTACTGAAAACGACAACAATAAGTGCTATATTTGTTTATTTTCATGCGTTTCAACGAGAGCTGTACACCTCGAACTTAAGCCAAATCTGACTGTTAAGTCTTTCCTGTTAGCGTTTCGCCGCCTTACATGTCGTCGGGGACTGCCTGCAACTCTAATGTCCGATAATGGAAAAACATTCCGAGGATCCTCAAAGGAAATTGTCAAGATTGCACGGTCGAAAGAAGTCTTGCGTTACTTAGCCATCAATGATGTCAGCTGGAGATTGATTATTGAGAAGGCCCCTTGGTGGGGAGGCTTCTGGGAGAGATTAATCCAGAGCGTCAAGCGTTGTATGAAAAAGTCCCTTGGCAGAACCACCTTAACCTACGATGAGTTATACACCTTGCTTGTCGAGATCGAATCGGTCGTTAAATCAAGACCTCTGACTTACGTGGAGGACGAAAATTCAAGAGGTAAACTCAATAGAATCTTTAGTCACCGTATCGCCGTGGCTGTCATTTTCAATTCTTTAAAATCTTAGGCGCTGAACCATATCCAGAAATAAGTCCGTATGACATTCAAAAAGCATTACAAGAAGGATATAGGATTCCAAAACCATGGTATTTTAGCGTTGAACTGTGAGTAGTACCTAGCCACTAATAGTAACTACTACTACCTTGGTGATAAAAATTTGTTTCATTGCATACTCTTAGTTGACTCATGATTTATTGTATCCCAGGTCTAACTGAACTCTGAAAAACACAGATGTAAACTACAACCTTCTCAACCTAAAGTTGAAATTAGAGAATCACAAAGGAACTAAACCAAGTGCCGTGCAGAGTCATGCTTACCCTCCGCCTCCTCTCTAACTGTTATAAAGTTACTGATCTGTTTACGTTCAGGGCGATACGCAAAACTTATGCTGGACATTCTGTTGATTTTAAACTTTTACCATCTTCAGTAAGGTTTTATTCTGTGAGCGCTAACTACGGAAAATCCTGGACTTCTTCAGATTCGATGTCATGTGGAATTGTTGGCAAACAGAGCCTGAAAGAAGACCATCATTTGAGGCCATAAAAATGTGAAAATAGAACGAGGCTGTTATCCAGCTATCTTGACTAAACAAGCTTGGTTAATAAAGGATTTATTATGTATATGAGCACGATCCTTCGCAGTAAAGCACTATTTGAGCAATAGTGAAAATCAGACCTGAAAAAAATTTCAGGCCTGTACGGGATTCGAACCACTGACCTCTGCGATACTAGTGCAGCGCTCTACCAATTGAGCTAACAAGCCAACTGGGAGCAGGCCATCAAATTAATTCGACATAAACCCGTAGATGATAAATCAAACAACAACAAACATATGAAACATATGTGTGAACTGCGGTTATGAGACGTATATGAGCACGATCCTTCGCAGTAAAGCACTATTTGAGCAATAGTGAAAATCAGACCTGAAAAAAATTTCAGGCCTGTACGGGATTCGAACCACTGACCTCTGCGATACTAGTGCAGCGCTCTACCAATTGAGCTAACAAGCCAACTGGGAGCAGGCCATCAAATTAATTCGACATAAACCCGTAGATGATACATAACCGCAGTTCACACATATGTTTCATATGTTTGTTGTTGTTTGATTTATCATCTACGGGTTTATGTCGAATTAATTTGATGGCCTGCTCCCAGTTGGCTTGTTAGCTCAATTGGTAGAGCGCTGCACTAGTATTGCAGAGGTCAGTGGTTCGAATCCCGTACAGGCCTGAAATTTTTTTCAGGTCTGATTTTCACTATTGCTCAAATAGTGCTTTACTGCGAAGGATCGTGCTCATATACGTCTCATAACCGCAGTTCACACATATGTTTCAAAGGATTTATTATATCGCAAAAATATTTCGCTTTAATAAGAATTAGGAATGATTTGTTTACTCCGAGGGTCTGGGAAGAAACCCAACTGTGTTTGTAGCACAACATACACACGAGAGTAGTCTCTGTTTTCTTTGTTTTGACTATCTTCTGTCACATTTCGCGTTTCCATCGCCGAAATTGTCCAAGAATTACGAACTAAGTTCTACTTCTATTTTTTTTCATGCGCGGGACCAATCTGGGCAAACCCGAGCGGGCAAGATAGGCCCATCTTAACCCATCGTGTAGGCAATCGGAGATAAGGATTACCTTAATCTTTTCCACGGGCGCTGCGAACGTTGTAATAAAGTTCGTTATTGAAGGCCCACAAAAGTATTTCTGTAATGAGTCAGAGTCGATGACTGTGTTCATGCATGTGATGGAGCACTTTTTCCTTATTTTCAGTTACACAACTGAGCTAGCATGCAAACAGCAAAAAGTAGAAACCACCTTTTTTAATGATTAATAAGTGTCTGAGACATCTGTGACTTGTCTTCTGCAGGACGCAACTTCTAGTGAATTTGAGCTGGTCCCTATTTTAGGCATGCCCTATCAGCATTGAAAAAGATCTTCGAAAGTCACTTTGAGAAGTTTTCCTTGTTCACCCGATTTAACATTTCTGTTGTCCTCTTTTTCAGAATTACGTCAACATAGAATATTGCCTCGAGACTCACCAAACCGAGAATAGCGAATCAAATTACCATCGAATATCAAGAGAATATGAACTGAGATGTATGTGGAGGACCAGTTTGCGGACTATCCACCATAGATAAGCTAATTAATTTGGTGCGAAAAAGTGAAAGTTGTTGTTATGCTCACACCTGGAGAGATGTTGAAAGGATGTTACATTTGGGTTAATGAAAAAAAACATGGCCTCGATTAAACACTATAGACAACTTCACCAATTCGCGAAGCAACAAGTCCCCTTACGGTGCCAGCAGATTTGAGAAGCTGGAAGCTGGAGGCTGGTAGCAGGCACCTCTAACGAAGGGTACCTGACCAATCGCTTACGCAGCCAGCTCTTCAACGCAAGACACCTGAAAGCTAGCACAAGAGCACGGACCATCTGTGCAAGAGAACGGTTCTATGCGGACGACTCTGCTATGGTATCTCATTCCGCAAAGGAGCTCCAGACCATGTCCGATTCCTTGAACACTGCAGCTTCCAACCTTGGTTTGACTATCAACGTCACCAAGACAGAAGTCATGTTCCAGCCTGCTCCAGGAACTCATTCTCCACGGCTAGGCATCCTCCAACAGCCTTTCCCCCGTCAAACACTTAGCCTACCTAGAACAGCCTGGGGAAAGATGTGGAAAAACGAGTTAGCACAGCCTCTGCTTCCTTTTGGAAAACTTCGCACTAAGCTGTAAAACCGCCCTGGCATAAGACTTCAAATCAAGTGCAAAGTATACCGTGCCGTTGTCCTGTCATGTCTCTTGTACTCATCAGAGACCTACATCCTGTACCGCCAACACATCCAGAGACTGCAATACACTCAGATGTCTCAGCTCAGACAGTTGCTGAAAATCCACCAGAGAGATAGAGTCTTGAATGCGGAGATGAGACGGCGAGCCAAAATCCCCAGAATCAGCTTGGATGGATGGGCCATGTACAGCGTATGAACGACTCTCCATTACTCAAGGCAGTCTTCTATGGTGAGCTCAAGGAGGGCAAGAGGAGAGTTGGTCAGCCCAAGCCGCGTGTCAGAGTGCCTAAAAACAGCAACTGAAGGCCTGCAGCATCTGAACATGGGGAAAAAAAAGCCCAAGACCGAATGGCCTGGCCCCGCCATGTGAGTCAGTCACTCAAGATGATCAACGACCGCTTGAAGGAAGAGACCAGGCAACAAAGCCAGCGTCATGCAAGTAGAATCTCCTCACTTGCTTCAACAGCTCCCAACTCTCTCACTTGTCCCAACTGTAGCAGGATCTGCCAACACCGCATAGGACTGCACTTGCACCAAATGTGCCGTCCTACTCAGCAATGAGTGACAGCCGATTGTTATTATCATAAAAATTACAATTCCTTGGTTGTGATCGGTTTAACAAAAACCTTCTTTCCACTAATTCACTTTCCAAATTGTTATTGGACAGTTTGTTATCAGATTGTTCAATAAGCCAATCACATTCAAAACTCACAACCAATCACAACCTTTGTTTCTTTTAATGCGAACTTCCCCTTTCATGCATAGCCTGACTATTCTTTTTGCGGAAATAGTAATTTTTATGATTAATTGGTACTAAGACATTTTGTTGTCTAATTTGGTGTTATCATACTCGTGATAAACAAATTGGACTCCCACTGCACGGTTGTCCAACGTTATCTCTCGTATGATCACAGACCGAGTTGGACTCCACTCAGTCCTATCACTATTACTAATCTTTACTAATAACATTACTATAATTATCAATATCATTATCATTATAATTATCATTATCGTGTCATTAGCAGCTCAACTCAAAAACTCCCAAGGAAGCGAACAGACAGTTACGCTTAAGAAACAACACAAATGCAAGGTAGCTTATTTTATTTTCAACCTCTTTTCTTTTAAAAAAACAGTTTTATAAACACCATCGGTTTAAACTTTCTTCAATCTCACATAGAGCTATGTTCAGTCGGCTTTCATAAAAATTCTCATTGATAATTAGGGTACTCAAATAACCTTGACTGCCTAAGGTTATTTTGAAAAAAACTCTTGCTTTTTAAATGTCTATTGTGGCAAAACTACTCATGAGTACTACAAACATGCAGCACAAAAGCCTGCTCCAGTGTATCAGATACTTATACGCTTTAAAAACAAACATGCATAAAAAAAGTACTGATCAAAAACATAAGCATTCAATTTTAATATTTTGTTCTCTCTTTTTGTATTTTATTTTGTTTGCTTGTTTGTTTGTCTCTTTTGGTTTTAAATATCAATGCTACCAATATAAGCACTTGTCATCCACAAACGAAAATTGATAAGATGAAATCAGCTTTGCAATGGAATCTCAATTACAGTCAGTGAATGACATCAATAACTCCATTTCCTTTCTTGGATAGAAACGTGTCACTAATTTAGCTATATTAGGATAAAAAAAAACAAGCATGGAAACATAATCCATGCCAAGTGAGGTTAGAGAGAAATAAATAACTGATAAAGAAACTAAAATGACAGACTATAGGCACTTTAGGAGTGAACACATTTACACCCATTATCTGCTTAAAAAATAGAGTTTTTGTAGTCCTTCATAAACGTTCTGCCGGCATTTGAGGATGAAATGATTGCTCGCGGTTGATTGACACAGCCTGCCCGCCGCTGACCACAAGCATCTCAGTATTGTCCGGATGACCGCCGCTGCCTCTTCCGATAGAATTTTTACAGATAGCACAACCAAAGCAACATCGCACCCCTCGATCTGGGCAATGCTTACAACAACACATCGCTATCAATACCAATACAAGGACAGAACACAACGATAATAGAATAACTACAAGTGTAAGGACTTTGGGATTCTTTATTGCTGTAAAAAAATCCACCTGTTTGCAGCTTTCACCTATGAATAAACACATAACTCTCTTTCAGTTTATTATACTCGTTAACAATGATAACACATTACAATTATTCTATCACTTAATAAAAAGGGCTCTAATACAGGCATAATAGCTGCCACCTCATTCTCTAAAATTTCTTTTATGACAGTGTTAGGGACATAAGNCTAACTGCAGACAGTACTGTTTCGGCCTTCTGGGCCTCATCAGTGCAGTGCTAATGCTAGGATGGAGGAGAACCAATATGGTCACCCCAAACGATCCAACCTTTGTGGTATCGTCTAAGCCATGCCAGAGTGCTCAAACTAGAGTACACTAGCGTACACTATATATATATGTATACCACAAAGGTTGGGTCGTTTGGGGTGACCGTCTCGGTTCTCCCCCATCCTAGCATTAGCACTGCACTGATGAGGCCCAGAAGGCCGAAACAGTACTGTCTGCAGTTATATATATATATATATATATATCATATGTAAGTTTTACATATTTTATAGATTAGTATAATTTCAGAGTTGAGCAAAGAGTTTTCCAGCAATCTGATTGGTCGAGTGGTTCCTTATATGACGCTCCGCGCGGTTTATATAAAATGTTAAAATAAAATGTTAATAAATGTTACTAAAATGTTATTATTTTAGAAATTTCTCTATTGTTCAGCTCTGAAATTATACTAAAACAATTATTCGCCTCAGGTTCGGTGAATATTGTCGCATAATCTCCTCGACTTCGTCTCGGGGATTATTCAACGATATTCACCTCGTCTTCGGCGAATAATTGCTAATTATAAATACATTGTTTTAGAGCACATCTTAAACAACAAAAGAGAACATGAAAGACAGAGAAGTTAAAGAGGACAACGGTAGGAAATAAGAAAAATTGCAGGACACAAGTGACTATGATTGCCTAATAACGATGGCATAACACACCTGAGGGAGAAGAAGCTGGAGGGCTGGGACCATGTGAGCTTGGGAAATAACCTTTATGGGAGAATAAACCCGTAGCTTTAGCACTATGAACACTATCTATCTCAATTAGTGGTACAAATATGACAAAGTAATGAAAGAAGTTAACTAAGCAACAATTCATTGAATGACGACTGTAAGATTTGCTGATTTCCATAAGAACTTGAATGGTACACTCCTGTATTCTACAATTGCTGTTGATTGCATTTCACTTTGCTAGCAGCAGCTTAACTGTTCATCAAAACTGGGTTCCTTGCATATGGCTAAGTTTTTTAGAAACCTATTTCATGACTTCTTTTGGCATATTATGTCTTTAATAAATCAAATCTTTGTTCTTTTTCTAAAGGCCTACAAAATAAATCAACAGAAACTCGCTGATAAAATCTACTTGCACATTTGTATTATCTTAATCAAATCCGCATAGGCCTATCAATAAAAAAGTATGCATACCTGAAGAACGTGGACGTGAAGTACTTGAGGTGTCTGATTAAAAAAAAAAAGGGATAGTAGGAAGATTAAACATAATCTGTGTCCAGTTGCTGTAGGAAAAGTATGATAATTAAATGGTCATCATTCTCTTTTGATTAAAGATCATTATGATTAAAGATCATTATGATCATTTTGTCACCTAATAAAAAGGGTTCTAGTACAGGCGTAATAAGAGACACCTATTTTCTAAACTTTCTTTTATGTACAGTTTTAGGGACATAATATTATTATTTATCAAAGGAGAGAGTCAGTGAGGCTGGTGGTTATTTCCTTTTTCCTACTTTAAGAGCAACTATTTTCAAAGGTATACAGAACTATAAATTGACAGAAATCCTTGTTTCTTGTGATGGGTTATGGGGAAGGTCTTTAATCACTTGAGAAAACAATACATACAGGTGGGTGGTAAACAACTCTATGATCACCCCTAGTTGTAGTTACTCTGTGTGCAAGTGTGTATACTTAATAATTGACCATTCCCCAATAAGGCCTTTCTGGGCCAATTAGAACAGTTTGGAAACCAACATTGTAAATTACCGTATTACTGAAAAATTCTAACTGGCAGGTGGCAGTCCAGTTTGCTATATGCAAAGTGCTACAAAGGAGTTGAGCTTAAGACGACTGAGAACCAATCCAGTGGATAACAGGGTAGGAGGATTCAACACGGGACCACCAGATTTCAAGTTCGGCACCCTAACCACTTCATCACATTGCTTCCTTCAGTTTAGCTACTAATGCTTGCTTACTATTTAAAGGAGGTCAGCATTGATCATCGAAAAGTAACAGAGGTACACATACCCGAGTGAGAGGACCAGCAACTTTGAATAGCTGAAAAAAAAAATTGATATGCTGAGGCATAGAAATGGAGTTGCCCTAATACACACCATTGCTGATCAAAAATGAATGATAGAAGAAGCTTTTACATGCTTAAAAAAAGATCCATTTTCATCACTTGGATTTTTTTATGATATCACCTTGGTTGCCAGGCAATATTTAAATGGTGGAGGCGGGATTTTCAAATTGTACCCCAAAGAAGTGAATTCAGGAAATTCATCTTAATAAAGCTGAATATGTAAAAACTCACGTAACACTATCACTTCCACAGTGTGGTTGTAAGATCCTAAAGAATTTTCTGCTTGGCAGATGTACGATCCCGCGTCATTCTTTGTGGACTTTTCTTTGACGTAGGTACATTCTGTCCCAGTCTGGTTTTGAAGAAGTTCATCATTGATAGTCCATTTTATGTTTGGTATTGGAAAACCAACAGCTTCACATTTCAAAACAAATTTCGCCTCCTCCAGAACACAGACAATTCTGGGACCTTGACTTATTTTTGGAGACTCTACAAAAGCAAAGATTAGAACAAAAAATTAATAATGACAATGGTAATAATCATAACAATAGTCACAACAATAATGATAATAATAACAATACTTAAAAGTAGTTTATAGAAGTGTCCCTCAGCTACAGCAAGCTTCTGGTATGGAAAGCCATAATAGACAAAAGTGGTCGAGAAACTTTTCTCCTAGTCGAGAATTTTCTCTTCGAGTCGAGAATTTTTTCTTTGAGTTGAGAATTTTTTCTTTGAGTCGAATGTTTTCCTCGAGTCGAGAATTTTTTCTTGCAGTCGAGAATTTTCTCTTCGAGTCGAGAATTTTTTTCTTCGACTCAAAAAACTCTTCCTGACTCGAGAATTTTTTCTTTGAGTAGAGATTTTTCCCGAGTCAATAATTTTTTCTTAGAGTCAGGAATATTTTTTTTCCCGAGTCGAGAATACCCAACGTGCCTTGCTGCCCTTTCCCTCTGTTTTGTCAAGCAACATGGCGGCCTGGAAGTGTCATTGTGTGCTTGTGGCCCTTTTAGACGCCGTAGTTGTTCTTCAAGTCACGGAAGGTAATTTTGGAGGACCTGGAGAGGTTTCTTTTGTCGATACAAAATTGTATTTGCCGTATATATCGATCAAGATACAGCTCACATCAACTAAGGAAATATGGAATATTAATTTTACACGATCAGTTAGAAGGCTTTATTCAGATTATCGCGTCGTTTTCTTTGATTCTCGCAAATGTCCAAGGCTTTCTTGAGATAAAGGCGCTGATTGAGGATCTTTTGCAATACCTGCGGGAGTTACTTTACCATAGCAAAGAAAAAATTGCTCATTATGTCGAAGACAGTACCGAGTTTCGTAATGTACCTATGTTCCGAAAAAGGTGTGCATTAGGGAGACCAAGATACAGCGTAACAGCAGAGCAAATTGAAGTACTTCGCTGCACCGGTATGCAGTGGACAGCTATCGCAAAGTGTCTTGGTATAAGTACCAGAGCTCTGTCCAGAAGAACAGAAGTAGGTCTAGTTGATTCGAGCGGTATTGATGTAGAGGGCCTAGATAGGAATGTAAGAGATATTTTACGGTTAACAACATTCTCTGGTGAAACGTATGTACGAGGAGCTTTAAGAGCACAAGGCATTTTTGTTCAGAGGTGGAAAATCTGGGAAGCCTTACAAAGCCTTACTGCTCCCAGTTGGCTTGTTAGCTCAATTGGTAGAGCGCTGCACTAGTATCGCAGAGGTCAGTGGTTCGAATCCCGTACAGGCCTGAATTTTTTTCAGGTCTGATTTTCTCTATTGCTTAAATAGTGCTTTACTGCGAAGGATCGTGCACATATACGCTTCATAACCGCAGTTCATATATATGTATTTCATACATATGTTTGTTGATTGTGTATTTGACAGCGATCTGCTTCACTGCATAGACTTTATTCATAAATGGCAACTGTTTGATTTTTCTTTTGTTATTGTGCAAATTAGCCTTCCAAGCCTCACATTACAGCAAGAATTCTTTTCAATTTAGGATATGCAAACAAGGCTTGGTAGGCTAATTTGCACCACACCAAAAGACAAATAAAACAGTCGCCATTTATGAATAAGGTCTATAGACTACTTTTAATGTATACATGAGCATTACAGAAAGCTAGATAAAAAGTCCAAATTGTGAGATGATATGTCAGATATGATCATTTTGGCGCAAAAACATGCCAAGGCATGTTGGGTATCCTTGACTGGGGAAAAAAATATTCTCGACATTAAGAAAAAATTCTTGAGTTGAAGAGAAAAAATTCTCGAGTCCAAGAAAAAAAGTTCTCGACTCGAAGAGAAAGTTCTCGACTTGAATAGAAAATTCTCGACTTGAAGAGAAAATTCTCGACTCGAAGAAAAAATTCTTGACTTGAGGAAAAAATTCTCGACTCAAAGAAAAAATTCTCAACTCGGAGAGAAAATTCTCGACTCGGAGAAAAGTTTCTTGACCACGTTTGTCCATTATGGCTTTCCATATTATGGGACATTTATTAGAAGACTCATGAGAGCCATCTGAGAATTAGAGAGATACCAGTAATAAAAAGGCAATTATTCTCATTGTAACTATTGCAGTAACATAATGAATAATTATTGGTCAAATATTGATCTTGCCATTTTCAGTGTGAGTTCATCATACCTTTGGCTATTTCCAGAACTCTAACTTTTCCTCTCCATCCAATTAAGTAATACTCAACCCTGCAAAGGTAACCCATGCCATCAAGTTTGGGTAATACCTTGGGAATCTTCAAGGTTCCTCTACTATCTACCTCGTACTTTCCTTGAAAATCAACCAACACAGTGGTATTGTTTTTGATGTAAGCGATTAAATTCATGTGGAAACAGGATGTGCAGTTTTCTATTGTGGGACAGGTGCACCACTCCAATTGGCGGAAAGGTAATCTGTAAGGCTTTCTGCACGGTATCTCAAAGTTATTTTGGTATAGGTTTGCTTTGGTCTGGTTCTCAGAATTTGAAGATCCTGTGAAATAAAAGGATCAAAGGTGCATTAATGGATCAGAAAGTAAGGAAAACAACAACAAAAAATACTCAAGGGCATGTTGGTATCCTGGCAAAGGAAATCAAAACTTAATTGGAAAAGGTCAGAGATTGAAAGGGGAACAAAACTCCACTTATGATGTCAATTAACATAATTATAAGGTGCCTGTAGTCCAGTTCAAAACTTTATGGTCAGTTTCACCCTTTTGTTGTCTTTACTGTTGATGTCCATGTGTAATATGCCTTATTTTACATTCAGGACTATTTCAAAAGCCAAGAACAACTCTAAGAACAAATCTATGGAGTTTCATGGCAAGAGGAATAATTTCATGCTTTTCTCCAAGGACAGGCTGTGGAATATAGTATTAATTTTGTTTTAGATTTCTTAAATGGTGTGCGCACACATTTGGAATTACATTTAATTGAGGAATTTTATAGATAACGATAAAGTTAATAAAAGTGTGAAAAATAAAATATATCAAGTACTTGACCTAGGCTATATTAAATACATGTACAGTTGTCTGACAATACTGAATTAAAATGACCCTCAAGAAGACCAGTAAGGAAATTTATGAGAAAGAATCCTCCCATCCTTGAAGACTATGCATGACTCTTCAATCATGCAAGCAAGCTAGGAGCTAAAATGCATTGTATCCACCCAAAATCCCCATTTTAAACTGCAAAATGCACTGCAATGCTTTACAAAGAGATAACAATATCTAAATCAAGGTGGTAGTTTTTTTTCCTCCACACTTCATCTCAAAGGAGGACAAAGTTGGGAGGCCCCAGTGTGGGCATGTACTTCCAGACCAGCCTTCATTTTCATGAAGCTAATAAATTACTTTTAAAGAACCCTCAGGTGATATCATGAACCAACTGACACACTCAGAGATGAGAACATACTGAAAAAGTTATCAATCCTTCTTCAATAAAATATATGAAAAGACAGAGTCATACTAAGTATTGCATTGTTTACTGAAAAACTTACTGTGAAGGAGGAACACCCTAAAATCCTGAAGATGCGAGATTGAGTTCATAGACATTTGCGGGTGAATAAAATGTCTCTGCAGTGCCAGAAGAAACACTGTAACCTTGCTTTGAGAATCAAGGTGTAAATTTAAAAGGGTAATACTTAGTGGAAACAATAGATTTCTTCCAAAAACTGTAAAATTAAGCCTGCATGTAAACCAATTTGCTGATAAACCAATGCATAATAACCATCCCTTATCGCCAAATCTTTTACATGGTATTTGAGAACAATTCAAAACTTGTTATGGCGATAATTTACCCATGAAGTCAGATGAAATGTCATTCATCAAAGTGTTTTCGCTGAGACAACGAACAGACCATGTGTAGTGCTTAGACATCTCGTTACTGTTATCTGGATTTATCGGTGTGCTAAGAGTCATGGTACTAGTAGATTAAAGAAACCTGTTGAGTTTATTTGCATTTATCTGAGTATTAACAGGTCATCATTACAGCACCATGTATTAATGTAATTAACAGAAAAACAGAGTCTTTGGGAGACACAAATAGCAATCACTGTAAAAACTCATGTGTGAGCCAAACTCATGAATAAGCTGCACCCCAAAATTTCAGGCATGATTTTGAGAAACAAAGTTGGGTCTGGTTGTCCGTGGTAAATTTGCCGAAGTCTGATGTTATGTTTTTGCTGCATCCATAATAATACCAAAAAACTCTTTAAATACCATTCAAAAGCTTAACTTCAATCAATTTCCCTAATTAACAAGACTAGAAACAGTTGTCTTCATTGTTAAAGCCCACAGTTGGAATTTGAAGAAAAATCTAGCCTAGGTCATTTCATCTTCTATGCAAAACATTAAAACATGAGAAATCAGCCATTTTTTTGGGGGGGGGAAGGATGGTTCAAGACTACTAGAGGGTAAACAAATAAACAAATTTGTCAACGATTTATCCTAAAATTCTTCCTTCTTTTCTTTCCCTCCTTGAAGATCCATGTTTTCCAAGATTTATGTCATCTGAGAAGTAAATTGATTTCAAGTCTCACCAAGCTTAATTGAAGTACAAGTCTTGTTGTCGCTTCCGCTTTCCGCTAAGTCACCAAAATCACTTAGTTAAACATTCATACGAGGTGGTTCCCTATTGACAACCTAAAACATTCGAAGTTTCGTCACCGATTTAAGTTTTTAATCATAATTAGAAATATTGTAAGAAAAATACAACTTTTTTTAGAGACGTGTTTCGGCATGCTTATGCCATCTTCAATCAATGAGTAACTGAATGTGAGTAATTATATAACAGACAAGTAGATGAATAAAATATTTACAGTATGATGTAATACAAAAGCAGGTAGTAATTACAGCGTGACAACAAACATGAAATTAAAGGTGTGAACTACAATGCTAGAAAAGTGATATAATGCTGTAATTGTTTATTAAGTTCAGGTTTGATCTTATTTATATAAAAAGCTTCTTTGAGTTTTAAATCAATTGAGTTGTTGGCAGAATCCAGAATACTAAACCAAGAAAGGGAGTATTTGTTCTTACAAGAAGGAAATGTGTTAAAATGCTTAAAAATATGCGAGTTTTTATCCCTTTCCATGTGCTCCTTTATCCTAGTAGAGAAGTGGTGACTAGTTTCGCCAATATAACGGGAATTACATCCCGCATAAGAAAATTGATAAACTACCACGGACTTTAATAATAATAATAATAATCATAATAATAAAAGATTTAAACCGCGCCAGTATCCTACTGTTCAAAGGCGCCTCCAAAAACTTTAACATTAACACTTAAGACCGCTAATATTAATTATAAAAGGCTTTCCTAAAAATAAAATTTTTTAATCTACTTTTAAAGACAGACACAGACTGAACATTTCTAATTTCACATGGCAAAGCATTCCATAATGATGGTGCTGCTACAGAGAAGGATCTTGCGCCATATGTTTTCAAGTTATAGGATGGAGAAACCAGAAGTTGCTTGGATGATGAGCATTGTTGACGCGATGGGGTGTAAGATGTAAGCAAATCTCAAATGTACAACGGTGCCAAGTTGTTAAGAGCCTCGTAGGTTATAAGTAAAATCTTAAAAATAATACGTTGATTAACGGGAAGCCAATGAAGATCAAAAAGAACAGGCGTACTGTGATCATGCTTTTTTGTAAGTGTGACAAGGCACGCCACGGCATTCTGGATGTGTTGGAGCTTTTTTATAGTGTAGGCTGGTAGGCCATACAAAAGGGAATTACAGTAATCCAGCTTCGAAGATACAAACATATGAACCAGCAATTCAGTAGTGGTTGCTAAAAGATAAAATTATTTCCTGATATAGCTAATATTTCGCAAATGATAAAATGAAGATTTGCAAATGTCAGTAATATGATCGTTAAAGCAAAAATAACAATCAATCATAGTGCCGATATTCCTTGCCTTTTGCACGGAATGAATAGTCTCACTAGCAACTGAAATTTCGTGACGGAGTGGTCTTGGAAGATGTTTAGTGGAGATCACCAATAATGCAGTTTTTTTTCTTTATTTAATTTAAGGCAATTAACCATCATCCAATGATTAATTTCATTCACACAGCTCTCGATGCCAGAAACTGCTAGATCCCTATCACCCAGTACGGTTGGTTGGAAAGACAAGTAAAGCTGTGAGTCGTCAGCATAAAAGTGATAGCTCAGGTTAAATTTCTTTATGATATCTGAAAGCGGTGAAGTATAAAGCAAATACAAAATGGGTCCCAAGACAGATCCTTGTGGCACTCCACATTTAAGGTCATGTTTCGTAGAAGTACCACCATCAACGGAGACATATTGCGTGC